GGGGGGGGGGGGGGGGGGGTTAGGTAGCCAATTATGATCACATGGGAATTGAATTCTTTCGACCCTTCATTAGGAATGGCACTCAGAGAATTTGAGATCGTTTCTTGATTTCAACAAAATTGAAGGTAAGACTCAGGCTAACAACTTCGCCCCAAAGAATCTTGATGGAGCTTGAGAATTAATGAGATCAGGGAAGGCTCTCTAATCTTGACTCAAGATTAGAGAGCCTGCCATGTTTCTTCTTTGTTCACAAGCATTGTATTGCTCACAAAGCAGGGTCTTTGCCGTGTATAGATCCCACATCTATAAGTGTTAGTCGATGAGAGGAAATAATGACACTGACTGGAGAGCCGCGTATCCGCAGCACAACGATTGCATATGATAATTCATGAAAAGAAAAAGTGTTGAAGATGACTTGGAAAAACAAAAACAGGAAGTTGCAACAGGATGATAGGTTAAAGAGGCAAGGAAGATGTTGAGTCAAATGGTCCGTGAGCCTTCAAGAGAAACAACGGTTGGAAACAGAGATACTGCGATAAAACAGTTGCGATCATATGGCTGGAAGCATCAATCAGTTGATGTAAGAGAAACAGCGATGAAGAAGAGCTTGAACGCAGAGAAAATGGGACGAAATAATAGGCCAAAGAGGCACGAGTGTTTTCCGGCTGAATTCGCTCTCTCGAATGGCTTTAATCAACTTTTTTCGGTCCGAATTTGGCAGTCGCCTCGGACAAAGAGTTGTCCGGCTTGTCCCTGTAGACCCATCATTTTCCAGAGAAAAAAAATAGCAACTTGTGTTGAACAATCTGGCCAACCAGTTTCACATCCACGCAAAGTCATGATATTGATATACATGGTGGGTGAACGAAGGAAGCTCTTACATTCTTGGTGCACATCTCCTGGAGACGTTCGAATCCATCGTTGCCATTTCTGTCGAGCAGTCGACCGGCAGAACTGCGTATGATATGTTTTTTTTTGTACGATAAATTTTGATTGGAGATTAGAAATTAATTATCTTGGAAGACAAGAATGAATTCAAATGAATCCTTAGGAGTCAGAAACACTTACACATCTGTGCCACCTCGACAGTCCACGATCACCTAAATACATATAGATCGAACAGATCAATCGTCGATTTTTCGATTTTTGTTAGCCAAGCATTCGATCCAGTTGAGTTTAGGGCACAAGGAAACCTCAAAGGAACCTACACGACAGCTTTGAAAAGCATGGTTAACGGGACCTTCGCCTCTGAGGATTTTATTTTTACCTTGAAAGCCAAGGTTATAAAATGCACTAGAGATCGAGTCGACACGATCACTTCAGCAAGCGCTAACGGGGTAGGTAGGGAAATCGGCGGTACGGTCATTAGCCCTGACGAAAAATGATGAGATAACGTACACGGCACAGTCATGGATTGTGAGATGGTCGTTGGCGGGATTGCACTGATCTTGCCCTTGCCGTCGCTCGACGTTTGCCGCTTGGATTGGGGAGCTGAGGAAGATTAGTAAGATCGCAGCCATCAAAGTGGCATTGATGCTCCAGTTGAAGGGTGCCATGTCGAGATTGGCAGATTTTGGTTGGTTTCTTGAGTGTTGATATTCATGGTTGGAATCACTCAAAAGCAGCCTAGAGGAAAAACTCAGTCGGAGTGAAGTCTTGGTCGTATTTATGTAGGGCAAGGAATGTGAGGCGCGGGCAAGACATGGCCCATCCTTTGAGCGCTTGATTATAACCGAAGCAAGCGTAGCTATGTAAGGCTATGTTTGTAAGGCTATGATGGAAGGACCCAGGAAAGCCCCTACCAAGCCGCCTCATGTAAATCCAGGAATATCTGGGTTTTTGATACGTAGGGGAACCTGGTTTTTTTTAGCCATGCCCAAAAGTGATACCTTTTACATGAGGGTGCTTTTTTAAAAGGTTTCAGGGGGCACATTTTGATACGCCCCACATTAGGATCATTCTAAAGGTGCACATAGTCTTTTTTTGATAAATTTTCAAAAATATTTGAATTATGAAAAAAAACTCAGATTCATTTTGCTACCTGCTGAAAGGCTTCAATGTCTTGCTCTACTTTACTTGAATATGTACACAGGGAAAAAAAGGTTCCTTGCACAGGGGGAACATCAAATTTTGCAAGGTGGGGCGGGCAAAAGAGATTCTTATTTCCTGAGGAACATTTGCAAAAAAAAAAGAAACAAAATCTAAAATTGATACTAATCCGGTGATTTTCATGAGGAACATTTCAGAAAAATTTCTGAAATAGATACGTGTTACATGAGGCGGCTTGGTAGGGGCTTTCCTGGGTCCTATGATGGAGCATCGCACATTTCGAATTGCTATGGCCGCCCGCATCAAGCTGTCTCGCTCGATGGTAAGTATTTTATAGTACTTGCAAGACATTTCAAATGAAACTGCTGATCAGATGAACGACAGTGGCCGAAAAAAGAAAAGGAATGTGAGCTAAACTGATCCGCCGGGATCCGCTTGGCAGTGGGACCCAGGTCATCCATGTCCGCCGGATCCACATGTGGGGGAGAGCGGTGTGGAGAAAAAGGTGTGGGGAATTGTCCGACATGGCGAACCTGGGCGAACCTGGTCCCTTGAGTGACATGCACTTATTTGAAAAGGGTGTTCAAGAAAAAGCTTGAGCCTGTCGAGCAGTCCAGCATGGCTATGTAGCAAGATGACTTCGCTCGGTCTCCATTCTTGTGGTGGTTGCTCGCCCGAGCAGACTTGCACACAAAGCGATGATCGACACAGATATTCCGGTGCCGACCACTGCCTCCAGATTCGACCTCCCTAATGGGACCTCAGGCCGCCTCGTTTTCGTAGCACATGGCGGGCGAAGGTTGCTAACCTCTAAGCGCTGTGGGTTCCTCATCCTGCTCGAAGAAAGTTTTAGCTGCTTGTGAACTTCGATGTGACAATTTATCCATCATTCACCAGCTGGTAAAGTCACTGGTGCGCTTGCCAGCTCAACGTACCAAGTGCTCAGTGTACATTAGTCCCGCTTTGTGTGGGTAAGCAGTGCACATATCATGCCACTTCAGCTGTTAAGTCTGGGTTTGCGGACCTTTCTCGCTGTGAGAGACGCAAGATACAACGTTGTGTTACTCCTGATTCAGAACCAGGCGACCAAAGATGGATGGACCATGATGAGAGCAAGGGAGATTCACATACGGTGCTTTAATGCACAACATGCGATGACATAGTGGTGTATTACGAGTATCATAAATCAACAGCGACAGTCCAAAAAGATATGTGAAATGAATGAAGGTATTGGTGCTGCGACAACTGGGGGGTGACAAAATGGCGAAAGAGAGAGAAGATGACTGCTAGTCAACAAGAGCCAGGTGGGGCAACTGTCTAGAATTGACCAAGGGTGCGGAAGGATGGGTTGACGCCTCCAATCTAGATGCTCAAGGGCCCTATCGATTGGGAGAATCTGCTGAACGATTGGCTTAGTCGGGATTCGGAGGCGAATCGGTAGAAGCCAAGTAAAGGGCCCGAACCTGTTAGGTGGCAGACATCAGCAGAAGAGGGGAGCAAGCGATCGGAAGTTCGGTTAGTCTGTGATGGTTGGGAGACGGGGTGAAAGATCAAAAAAGGGTGACGTACGGGAGATCATCTGGTAGAAGTCTTGGCCGTATTGCGATTGGAAGCTCTGGCAAAGCTGGTAAAGCTGGCTGAACATGCTGTTGAAGCTGGAGATAACAGTGGGCTGCGAAAGGAGTTCAAAGGGGATTGGTGAGCAGTCTGTCTCGCAGTTGAAAGCTGATTAGGTGGATCATGTGTTGAGCTCACGTCTTGCATGCAGCCACATCCAGACAAGTCGTTGAAGGCAGGCTGGAGTTGCGCGACAAGTCGGTTCATGTAGCTCATGGCGTAGGACTGGGAGAAACTGCCTTGAGAGATCAAGTTCTGCATCTGGCCCATGATGTCGAAGACCGGTGTCAAGGAGTTGGTCACAGAGCTGAATCGGCTGTAGGAGTGCTCGCTGTTGGCCTCCTGGTGGGAATATCCGAATGGGCTGATGTTGGTGGAGCTCGAGGAGGACGCATCGTGACCTGAAGCAGAGTCCACGTTGGAGGACATGATCTGGCGGGGTTGAAGGCTGACAGAGGACAAGACTCATCAGCAAACTCATCTTGACTCGCTGGGAGGGTGAGGGGTAACACTGGTGGGACAGGAGCACTCACTCGACCGGGGTGGCAGCAGCAACTGCAAAGGAGAAAGAAGGAGAGGGTTAGCAAAGGTGCAACGAGGAAGCGAGCCAGGTGAGACTGAGGGTCCACTCACAAGCAGCCAAGAAGCAGGCAACAACGACGAAGGATCTCATGGTGAAGCTAGGTGGAGTGTGTTGGAGGAGTTGGAGGCTGAAAGGAATGGTATTGGGATAACGACTGTGAGGGAATGAATGGGTGAGTGGGTGAGCTGATGAGGAGCAAACCTACGCCGGAGGGGCCTCTCTTTTTATAGCTTCCATTGCCAACATTTCCCTCTGGCATACCAGACGGCTAAGTTGATTAGCGCAAGCTGGCACTTCTGCAAGAAAGTCCAGCTTGGCATCAACGGCCGACAGATTTCGCCGGTCATGATGTCAGGAGCAGCAAGGATGAACCCTATGGAGAAGTCTCACCGGGGTCTCCGGAAGATGTCCAGTCACAACCATCCATGGCTGTCATTCTTAAACCTCCATCCGGAACATCAGCCATCAACTTCACCGGTTTCGGCTCTAGTCGATCTTCATCTCCCGTCGTTGTATGGCAGCTCAACTCGGGTTGTCTTTCGTTTTTTCGGCGCATTCGGATTGGACATGACTGTTGAGAGAGACTGCTTGACTGACTCTTTTCTGCTTGCAGTTCCATAGACTACAGGCAATTCCGGTCTCATTGTCTGATCTTACGGCTGAACAATTTGCAATCATAAAAAAGAATTCAGATGATCTTTTGGGAGGAGTCTTGTAGGTCGTGTTTTGCCAGGGCGAGTATGGTGCTCCCAAGGCAAAAGTATCAAAATTATTAACCTCCAAGCCGCTTTCTTTTTCTGAAACAGGTCATAAAGTGTCGCGAATCATTTAGCTGGAAGCATCAGTCCATGGGGAAGAAACCTGAAGAAACAGTGATGAATGAAGATGAGTTGACAGGGGAGAAACTACAGCACAACAACTGTGATCACATGAATACCCAGCTGGGAGTATCAGTTCATCAAGAGAAACAAGGGGGAATAAGACTTTGAAAACAGAGATATTGCAACAGAATAATAGGCCAGGAGGAAGGAATGATCCGCGATAGTCACAGATAGACAAACCCTCGAAAGTCTGCCAAAAGTCTTGATTTAACTTCTTTCGGTCCTGATTTGGCAGTTGCCTCGGACAAAGAGTTGTCCGGCATGTCCCTGTTGAGGCCAGCATCCCCCCCCCCAAAAAAAAACCACGTTAGATAATCTGAGCAACTAAATTCACATCCACGTATTTATATACATTTCCAAGTGGATGGATCAGGACATCCTTACATTCTTGGTGCACATCTGCTGGAGACGTTCGAACCCGTCGTTTCCATTTCTGTCGAGGAGTCGACCGGCAGAACTATTTTTGATGCGATATCATTACAGGAGATTAAAGAAATGGTTGGATGTCATTAATTTGCCATTGAATCGATTCCTAGTGAGAATCACTTATGTACACTTCCGTGCCCCCTCGACAGTCAACGATCCTAAATATTAGATCGAACAGATAATAGACGATTTTCGATTTTTGTCAGTCAACCAATTGATCCACTTTGATTTTTGGACATAAGGAAGCCCCAGAAGAACATACTCGGCAGCTTTGAACCGCATGGTTAACGGCCCCTGAACCTCTGAGGATTTTGTTTTTGCCTTGAAAGTTAAGCTTATAGAATGCACTAGAGATTGATCGAGTCGTCACGATCACTTCAGCAAGCGCTAATGATGATAGGGAAATGGGAGGTACGATAATTGGTGGCCCGGGGATCAGATAACGTACACGGCACAATCATGAATTGTGAGATGGTCGTTGGCGGGATTGCACTGATCTTGCCTTCGCTCAACGTGCGCCGCTTGGCTTGGGGAGCCGAACAAGATCAGTAAGATCGCAGCCAACAAAGCAGCATTGATGCTCAAGGTGATGAGTGTCATGTTTGAAAGAGTTTGATTGGTTTGGTGAGGATTGTTTGTAAGCGCTGAGTCAAAAGAAGCCTGGGGAACTCTGGGCACCAGCTTTGTGAGTAAAGTCTTGGTCCTATTTATGCACCAGAAACAGCAAATTGGAAGGCAGGGGAAAGCGGAGAGCCTTGCTCTATCAGCTGAACGCTTGAAATAATCCAAGCGAAGCAAGCATAGCGGTGTATGCCAAGCTGTGTGGCAATGGCATAGCAAATTTCGAATTGTTTCCGGTGCCTACATTTACCTGTCACGCTCGAGGGAATGAGGGGCAAGGAATTCGTCAAGCAAACAGTGCGGACCAACAATTCTGCTCCAACGAGAGCGTAGCAGGATCCGCTCGGCTGTATCGGACGCGCTCCGTTGTGGGGCTTTGGCAAACAACCTCCTCATGCGGGGGAGGGCGGTGTGGGGCAAGCTTGATCAGGCCTCTCCAAGGAAGGAGCTCGGTGACCTGGTGTCAAGTTCGGGTGTGGGGGAATTGTCCATAATCCAACATTTACCGTCGCCGTCCTGCCTCCTGGTTTACAGGTAAGTAAATGGCAATACTTCATCGGCAAAAAGACGCTCAAGGAAAGGTGCGGGTTTCGTGCCCAGCCAAGAGAGCGACCGCCGTCTCAGACACAATGCTTTCCCTTTCAGAGAAGTGGGTGTGGGAGCAGCACAAGACTTGGTACTCATTCAACCGGAGTGGCGCCAGCGACTTCAATTTCAAAGAAGAAAGACAGATCGATGGTCAGCGAAGATGCCATGGACACATGACTCCTGCAAAGAGATTGCCGGGGAACACTTACAAGTGAAGCAGCCTAAAAGCAGGCAACGCCAAGATATAGTCTCATACAAAAAAGCATCCCGCAAACCTCAAGTTTGGTCTTGGTCACTCGTTTCGGGATCGGCCCCCAACTTTCTCTCTCTCCCTCTCTCTCTCTCTTGATCATGATTAGCTGTATTCGCTTGACAATAGACTTACATAATTGCTATGCAAGTCGATTCTTTTCAAAGAGCGAATTCTATCGGAGTCGCAATGAATAACGCCGGGCTCACATCTGCCGCGTGGGCATCGGAGCCAACTAACGGGTGGGCCTGGAGACGGCTAACTGTAGCCGACAGCACCCTGATTCAAGGAAGTCTCCCGGGACTGGGGGTGAAGAGCACCCCGTTGCGAAGCATCTACCATGATCGAGGGGCTTGTGTCATGTCAGCAGCACCGGCGATTCGGACACTCAAGTTTACCAAGTATCTGGTCTGACATTCAATCAACTGAGACAAATTAAATGATCTTCTTCTTGATTATAGTTACATCCTTTTGTTCTGTTGTAGTATATAAATAAGTGACATTGCTCTGAACCAAACCAAACGAAAAGAAAGGGAAAGAAAAAAGAAAAAACAGAACAGAAAGTATCAAAAAAGTAAAATAAAATAAAAATATTCCATGAATGATTTTCTTCCTTATATGTAAATATTTAATTCCTTTCTTTGTAGTTAAAAAAAAGTAACAAAGTGTGGAGAGATTTCAATATAAGAATGAAGACCGAGTTCTACTGATGGATATTGATGATGATGATGATGATGATGATGATACATTCAAAAGGAAAAAAGCCACCTCTAACTAAAACATGAAAAAGGCTTCTAAAAAGAGGCAGTCATAAGGAAGAAGATGAAAAAGACTAAATGATTGTCTGCAGGGGTTTGGGTTGGTAGTGGTGATTAGTTATCGAGCGGAGGGTCATCGTAACCGATTCCTTTGAACTCGGCTTCCAAAATCTTGACACCATCGGGGGTGAGGATAGGTTTAGAGAACTTCGCGTAACCGTTGAGCCCGATGAGCTGCTCTGCGGAATCAGAATTCACAGCATTATCATCGTTATCATTCTCATCATCGTCAGTATTGAAGATGAGGGGCTTGAAGGGCTGATTATCGGCCTTGCGCTTATTAGAGAGGTCGCGCTGGTTCTGTTCGATCGTCTGTTTCTCCTTGGTGGCCTCGGTGAAGTTCTGAGCCTGGATGAGACTGGTGAGACTCTTCCAAAACTTCCGACTCTCCATCTCCGTCTGGTGGGCTTCTGGCTTGACCGTCTTTGGTAGAGGCTCTAGACTGCTCAGGTCGACTAGCTCACGCGCTTGGTTGCTCTGCTGCTGCTCTTGGCTCGGCCCACTCGTCCTTCGGCTCGCTTCCGTCATCGTATATGTCACCAAGCCCCGCCAGCTTCCCGAAAACTTGCACCAGATTCGATCGGATGGTACTTGCTTGATCTTTGTCCATTCGTTGGGATCATCGGTTTCCTGTAGCTCATAGATCACCCCCTCGAGCGCGAACTTGGCCTTGCCTACCCAGCTCTATTTTTATTTTATTTTTGATTTTCATGGAGTTCAACATGGGATGATCAGCTTCATCTTTTCAAAACATGCACACAACATTCAAAATGGCTTCTCATCGTGATCTTTGAGTGATCCTGCACTTACTTCATCCACATAGTTAATCATCGTCCTAAAGCGTCGCTTCTGGGCTGACCGGCAGGTGATGTAAGCGTAATCTGTAATCACCACATACGGATTGGCACGGATGAGACCAGTGACCATAGCTGTTGGGTGGGTAATCTTCCGAAAAGAAAAAATCCCAAAAGATTTACGTTCAGCAAGCTTGTTTTAGTTTGCTCTGATTTCTTGAGAGGCGATGAGGAAAATGTATTTCACCTCGTACTCTTCGTTCCGATTGGGTAGTTTGACAAAGATTCCTTTATTCATTGGTCCAGGGAACACCTTGACGCTGGTGCCAGTGAACTTAGCACTGATCTGGTCGACCCCATGAGCAATAACGAGTGGTTTTGAGGGTTGGCCGTCGGTCTTAGGCCGAGCCTCGTACCAAAAGCAGGAGATTGGGGGATGATGGGAGACCTGCTCATTGAGGAAGACGACTCGGGCGGAGCTCGAGGACTTGTTGACCGTCGTTGCCAGACTCGAGCCAGACCGGTTCCCATCCCGGAGCGGGCCGGGGTCTTCGGGATCAAGCGCCGTGCTGCTTGAGGTCGTTTGGAAACTTGCGGCTCGTGTCGGGCCGCTGTCGGTAGTTTGCGTCGGACTCGTGGCTCGTGAGGGGGTCTCGTAAACTATAAGGTCCCCACTCTCCGGATCAACCTTGGATGGGATAACATCATAGATGCATCGAAACTGTTCTCCTAAGCTATTGCAATTCAAAAAAAACGCAGGAGATGAGCGGAAGATCTTGTTGGCTGTATGTTAAGTTTCACTTACACACTATTGTAAGGTTTACAGACTGGACCATGTACGAACTTGCAATCTTTGGTGACTGTAACAATACACATTATAAAAATATGGCAGATTTAATATTCAGTTGGTACGAGATAAGATTGTGTGTGATTTGTCAAATCACTGATTTGCCACTTACGCGTCCATCGTAAGACTGCCAGCATCCTTTCGAAGTCATCTTCTGAATCATTAATGGCGGCAAATAAGTCTGGTCTATCCAGATAGCACCTGTGGATGTAATCAAAGAAGAAGAATGTGTTTGGATTAGTTCAAATAACAAGGATTTTTCTGGGAGTTACAGATGAGTATGTACCAGTATTCGAGGTTGCCGACTGGGGTGATGAGGTGAGCGGGCAAGCTCAACCTCATGGCGCCCATATCCTTGACGCCGATGGCCTTCTTGAGTACGGCTAGGAGTTGCTTGAATTTGGTGTCATCCTGCGGTTCAGCTGAGTCAGTTGCGAGACTGCTAGTGTTTCGATTCTCCAAGCTGATCGAGTTAGTTGATGGTGAGTTGTTCCGATTGGGATGCGAGTTTGATGATGAGCTTCGACTGAGTGAAGGCATCGTCCAGCTGCAGTTGGTTTCTTCAGGGGGTAGATAGACTCGCGAGACAGGTAGGTGGGTTGTGAGGTAGGTAGTTGGATATTTATTTCTGGCCAGACTGGAGGGAGGGAAGGTAAGGAGGTCTTTTGGCAAGCTGGGTCAAATTACTTTAAAGTAATCTAATCTAATCTAATTTAAGTTTCACTCAACTTGTGTAATTTGACAGTTTATGTAAACAGTCACATCTCAATGATCATGTGCATACTTACGTAATCCAACCCGTTAAGAGCATCTACCCCAATCACCGTTTTTTGCTGTTTTTGCTCACCAAATTCTCAACCTTTGAAGGTCACGAACCTCCTCTATGACCTGTTGTAAGTCAAGTCCTGATCAGCAGCACAATGCATCTCCAGCCAACACACCCAACAAGATTGTAATGTGGGATCGGGGTCAAATCAAGACCAGGTACACTGCAAGTAGACAAATCCACATGTTTATATTCTCATTGTCCTATGATCCTGTTTTGTGTGACTATGGTGTAATTGATGGTATGTTTGGGCATCAGGGGGTCCAAATGCTAATTGGGATCTCTTGAGATAATTGTATACTCATGAGGTTTTTAATGTTTGGATAGATACAAGAATCCAAATAAGTGTTTTGTTGACCAAAATTCCTGAAGTGTAAACTGATTTCTTTTCAATTTTCAAATCAAGCCAAAAACAATCAATACAACAGAAATCAACAACAACACCCCACCACCAAAAAACTCTGTTTAAATTCCCTATCTTGTAGTCAAATTTTTAAGTTTCTTCTGTTACTTTCTTGTTGCACATAATAGGGACTTCACTCAATGAAGCTTTATACTTCTCAGTGGTAGAAGGAAAGACAGGATCAACCATGTTTACTGTGAAATTGGTGATACATTAGGGCAGTGGGTAGTGCATAACTGTCAGCCTTAGAGCCAGCCAAGCTGGCCAAAAGACTGCCTAAATCCCCCACGTCCATTCAAAATATTATCATATCTTTTTTACCTGAAGACTTTTAGCTTTTCTGACTTCAGAATTGGATTCCTGGTGTAAAATTAACCCTAGTCACCACTGACCACTTTTACACTACTCCAATCCTTCACTGACTTTGTAATATTTCAGAGTACTTATGAAATATCCACGTACCTTGAGCTTCAGCTCCTTCTACCACATGTACATACAATTATTACGTAATCCAACTCTGAAAATCCTCTCTGAGCTTGTTGATTCCGCTTCCAGAGGATTTTCAGACTCCAGACCAACACAGAACCACAACAACCAGACCCAGATCAAGCCATCACTTATCAACCAGAAGTACTCCACTTTTCCCACCTTTCCCACTACACAGTGTCATTGGTGTCATTAGTAAGTAACTTCTCATAAGTTTTAGCTAGCATCTTTCTGCTTGTTTCTTTCTCTGTCTCTCTCAACCTCTTTCACTTCTTCTCCAAACCAAAGCCCTGATCAAAGAAAGCATGCTCTAGCTTCTACTATCTCAATTCTTCCTGTTTGGTAGTACAACTGAAAACTACATAGGTTTCCCTTTAAAGAGCCTTGATCTTTGATCTAAAAAATTGTGGTTGACCTGATTCTTCAGTGTCAATAACCCATTTCAGTTTCTGTTGATTTGGAGGCGTCAGAGTTAGCTCCGCTTATAACAGCCATCCTAAAAAGGAAAGTAAGACTGTCAGCAGCCATCCAAAAAGGACAGTAAGACTGCCAGAACCTTAATCATCATCATGAAAGAAATAAAGAACAAAAATATTACCCATTTCTTTCACTCTTCTTCTTTCCTTTCTTCTACTTTTATTTGTATCCCTCTTCTATTAAGAAATACATATAAAAGTGCCCCCCATATCTTGTGTCCTGCTGTCACTATAGAGACCCAGGCTCACAATAACAGGTGTTTCACAATTGCATCTGTTGAACAATCAGTAGGGATTCTATCCAGGCCCCTAGATCAGGATTTGGCTCATCTACATCCTGAATCCAGATGGTTCAGTTCCAGTTCTGGGTACCCAATGGATCAGGTTCTTGTAGAAAGATCATCTGCAAAGGAACCTGGGCCTGGGTGAAGCCGAAAGGTTTTTTTGTGTTTGAAAAAAAAAAAAAACATCCAAAACCTCACAAATTTGCTATATATGACAGTTTTATATCCCTCCAGGGATCCAGTTTGGGTACAGATTGTATCTTTAATAATAAGCTCTTTGATGAGCAAAACACTTACTTTACATTGTCTGGGGATGTGCTTCTTGTGATGTCAGGGGAATCAATACAAGGAGGCTAAAATCAAGCCAATCTTTATATTCCACTTGAGCCAATGCTTCATGAAATTCAAGATACATCAGCATCTTCACTGAAAAGTGACTTGACCAATCACCCCCCTAAAAATTTTGACCAAGGTCTCACAATCAAAGACCTGCCCTGATTGACTTTCCTCACCCATGGCCAGGACTGAATTTGAAGCTTCCTCTTGAAGATGTAAATTATACCGACTTATTTAATTTGACTCCGATCACAGAACCTTTTGTCTCATCCCTCGGATTGAAACCCTCAAAATGAGTTCTATTTCAAGATTTATTTTTCACATAAAATTATCAACAAAGTAAAATTGACTCAATCACACCCAATTTGATGGGGGCTTGGACTAGTTCCACCAATCCAAACTAAAAATGCAACCGACCGGTTGCTTTGAGGACCATGGATGTGAGTTTTTTTTATCTGCATCATCTACTTGAGGTCAATGGCAGTTATAATATAACTGCCATTGACCTCAAGTCCTTCTCAGGCTTGAGAACACCAACTCTCACAAATTGATCTCTCAAGATGCAAATTTAGCTATTTCTATTTCACAAACAAAGTTGATTGTGCAAGAATAATGAAAAAAAACAGCGGGGTTCGAGAGGTTTTTGATTGGATCCTCGAGCTTCTGGTTGATTTGCTATCCTTGGTCCGTGGGGATGTTGTCACCGTTAGAATATGTACCTGCAATTGTCTGCCAAAGTCGAGATGATGACTTCCTTCTTGTTGATTTTCTATTCTTGGTCCTTAGGGATCGTGTTGCCATTGGAATACACGCAATCATCTAACCAAGTCGGGATGATAATGTCCTCTGGTCTCTGTACAAACAAGGTAAAACGAGGGTTGAATCAATCACAATTATGGTCAAGGTAATCACAATCTTTGGAACCCACAAGCAATTCGTGGGTGCAGCATATTCCTATACGATGGGCAGTTATGGAGCAGTCCGCAGTGTGACTTCTTGGATTCACAGGAGCGGAAATGGCTGATTTGAAGATTGAGGTAATGAAAAAAATGTGATCAGCTGAAGAATTGAATGACTACTTTTTACCGAAATAGATCGAGTAATGAAGCCCAAAAGACGACCCACTTTCGACGTGCCAATATTTTGGTGGTCCATTTTCTTCGAGCGGCGTTTTGTCTGGGAGCAAGCGTGCGCAGCCAGCGTGCGGATAATATATACCGCTCCCACTACTTATATTTCCACAGCCAAAGGCTTGCACCAAACTGGGACCTTGCGACTGGATGAGGAGTACCATTACGATTGGGAAAAAATAGGATGACAGCATCTTGAGTAAGAAGATGGTTTTCAAAGAGGTTTGCGCTGGAGGGACCCGAGGGAAAGGCACGATGCCGACTTTAAGTATTTTTGCTCTTCAATTACAGTATGTACACAGTCCTTCTCTCGCCTCATGAGGCTTGATCTTTTTCATGTCTTTCGGTACAAAGAGCCCACAGACGCCAAAATTGGGCTTCAAAAAGCCACAGAGGGTGGTGAAAACATGCGTGTATGTATGTGTGGGCATCACCGCATCCCTCAGCAACACAAATAAGATACAGAGATACATGCATATTTATTCGCTACCTTGCAAGTATGTACAGCAATTCCAGAAAAGGATGGCAGTCCCTCCTGGAATGCAGCTGCTCGGTTGTGCAGATCCATCCTCTTCGTGATCTGGACAAGGTTAAGTTCCAGCATGAACACATGAGTCTGTGTCTTTCTGATAGGGCATTGCGGTCACAAGCGATGGTGTTTCCCCCGCCCATGATTTTTCCATCCCTCCAAATCCCCCCAGTTTGCTACAATCCAGCCCACTCCCAGCTATTCCTCCTCATCCGATTCAGTATGGCAGCACCATTTTCAACGGATCCACCGTCCACGTTGGCCAATTCCAACGCTGTATTCTGCCCAGCACCCCAAACGACAAACGGCCAGACAGTACCTTATGCGGGCAACTATCATTTGTCTAAAGCTCAATACCCAACCAACCACGACATGTTTGCCCCGCAAAAACCAATGCCCTTTGGCACTCAATCCCTCTCATTCAGCGCGCCGCCAGCTTACGGGACTCCTTTTGTTCATATTGGGTCTGCTCCTGCAATTGGCTTCAGCTCCCTTCCCATCTATACTGCTCCATCTTCTCCGATGCACCCCAGCCAACCATTTCAACAGCACTTGGTGCCAAATAACCTCTGGGGCGAATCTATTAGTGTTTTAGATATCTCCTCCGACAGTCGTAGTGATCACAATGAAACCGACATGTTGGATTCGAATTTCTCTTCCCCATCGCGCAACCCAACTCCCCCCCCCCCCGAAGGTCTGGTTGCCCATTGAGGTCAAGTACCACCTATGGATGGAAAAAACCGCCGAAAACGGTTCCCGCAAGTTCCTCAGTGTGGTCCCTTTTGAGACGATTGAACCGTACATGGTCGATATAACCGAAGATCCCCCCGCCATCACTCTAGAATTTTTCCAAAGAGACCTCTACTGCCACCTCGATGGACGCGAGAAGCTCTGGTACCTCTGTGACCGTCTGCACAAACAAAGACAACTTTACTGGGTTGTCTTCATCGCGAACTCTAGGAAGTATTCTAAGAAGGCTCACATCATCTTATGAACCGATTCAGACCTCCTTGATTGGCTCAAGGAGGCCAAGAGGCTTCGACCGAATCAAGCGAGCGTCCTCATGACTATGGATGATCCGATTGCATCTGAAAAAGAACAAAGATCGGTCAGTATGATTTGATGTCTAAAATGTTTGGTTCTTTTACTGAGATGGCGTGGTTCGGGTTGTAGGCCGAGCAGGTCCAGGATGCCTTAGTGGCGGAGTTTGGGACAGACGATGAGCGTGCGGTATTGCAAAGAAAACAGAAAAGAAAAGAGGCTAATGTGTGTACCTGTTTGTCGCTGATGTGATTCCGTGTCAATGAACTGACCACGCCTTCAAAACTTAGCCTCGATCCAAGACTGCCACCCCCCTCCAGGAGATGATGTCAAAGCTCTATCGTGTTTGCCTTGACCATTCGGAGAGCTCCACTGAGGGGGTGACGTTGGTAAACCCCGATAACCCAGCGGTATACATGAGAATTGGGCACGAGAGGCTCAAAGAGTGGGCTCAAGCGATCATCGATGGGATCGATGGAGTTGATACAACTCATCCGCCAAATAAGCTGCCCTTTGAGTGGGTCCCAAGGCCTGGAACTAGCTCAACCTCAACCTCGATCTCTGAGGATTTGATCGCGTTAGTGAACCCAATCAACAACCAACGAGCATGGAGTACCGGCAGGGCAACTAGCTCAATTGTAAACCGAGGTGGAGAAGCAGGTTTTTCTGCACAGTCGCCGCTTATAAGGGCCCCACTTGAAGTACCCGGACAACACGCTCACTTCAACAACGATCGCACACCACTGCCAATCTTGGGTGTTGAACAACGCGGAACGATGACCGCGTTCCTGGAGAATGCAATGATTCCATTGGACGATCACTACACTCAAATTCTCATCGAACATCATAAGATTCATCATTGGACCTACTTTCGACGATCAACGATGCTCGAGCTACTTGGAATGGGGTTCGCGGCGGGCCCCTCTTGTTTACTAATTGATGCAGTTCCTCTCTTTGAATCGGTCCTCAGACATACCTCCCCCCAGTAGCTGTTACCTCTTTGATCTAGTTTGGCTTGCTTCTTGACTTTCATGGCACCCTAGGGGTCCCCTTAATAATGTTTCTCTCCCCCTTTGACGTCCCTGCGGGTCATCGAAGATTGACTCCTGGTAGGGTTGTTTTGTAAGATTGATTTTGGCTTTCGTTTCTTAGTTAGGATTGTTCTCCGAGGCCTGAGTGGTCAAAAATGACTCCAACTTCAGTTATGTTATGTTACTATACACGATATCTCTCGAGCCGTTTTCTGTTGTTATGTCACTAGTGTTACCTGATGCCTGACTGATAAAAAGAATTCTTGAATGTCTCTCATGTTATGCGGCCAAACACGATAGCTCTTGATCTGTTCTCTCTTTCTGATTCTGTCTATAAATGAATATATGAATTGGCCTGAAATCCACAAAAGCTGACTGGACAATTGGCTGAGGAGCCACATCAAATATAAGTGTTTGGGATCTCTCCCAAGGGGATTTGTGTGTGCACTACAATTCTACTCAGGCACCCCTCTGAGGTCCCTGCTGGAATCACCGGCTCCTAAGTGAATCTTGTGCATTTTTCCCGCGTGTCCGATATCACCAGTCGCCAATGTCTGAAGGGCATCACATGGCAGCCAGTTGTTGTTCCACAACCCCACATCCTCACCTACAAATCCGGCTTAAAATCTATGGAAGACAAAACGATCGAGCTACAAGGTCAACCCTCCAATATTGAGCCAATGGACATCGACAATCCTGACGAGGTCATTAACGAACCTGCAGACATAATTCTGTTGAAATCTGAGCCCCAAGGGACTCAGATTTATCCCTCTAACCTCAAAAGACTACTAAAATATCCATGACATCATTCTCGCTGAAACTCTCGCACTGTTCTCTAAACACGCTCGACCTTTCTCATCCTCACCAAGAGCTCGAACGACCAAAGCGTATCAAATCATCTTTCCCTCTTCCATATAACCTCACCTATCGCACCTCGGATTTCTTTCTCCCAGGCCAGGAACTTTCTGGGTTATCATAACAACCCAAACTCATCTACATTCTATCATCATCTATTCTACCGATAAAATCTTTGTTCCTCCATTTGGCAAATCCTATAAGCCATCTTATCATCTCAACGAGCTTAACTCGCACTCGAAGAATCTCATCTTCTCCTTCAACACTTCTTCACTTCATCGTACAGCACTTCCCTTCCTCCGCCACTTCGCCGATCAGACCAACGTGCTTCCCTTCCTTCTCGACCTATCGCCGATCATCATCTCAACGATTGGTCTTCCTGAGTGTAGTAGGTTATTGCACTTAAACGTCTCTCTCTTGTTACATGATCAAGACATTAACCGCTCTTCGTTTCTCTTAGTCGCTTCTTTTCTCTTTGCTCTCTGCTTTTTGCAACTTGTTGTTCTTCATCATAAAACTATTGTTTGCCTTTAGGTTTGTTGAGAATTTTCTCTTTTGTTCATGTATTTCTTTTGTTCATCTTGCTCATAAAGAAATACACCTTTAGTTTGTTCATTCACAGATTTACAGTCTCGATATCTCCTACGAACGAATGACCTAAACCAAAACTAAGGCAAACGATGGACAACGAAGAACAGCATCAATCGGTGAAGACCGAGTCCCTCCTCCCTATCCTGAACGCCGACAACTACTCATCTTGGTACGGACGCATGAAGGTTCACCTGAGAGGAAAGGACCTCTGGAACGTCTGCATCACCAAGATGGTTCTTGATCGTGAGCCACCTCCAACTCTTACGGTGTAAAGCTCAAAAGTGTTTGTGAAAACCTTTTGCTGAGTGTGGAAAGGGATGAATGAGGATACCTCTGCCTTTCCTGGATCACTAGACACTAGACAAGCCCACCAATCTCAGATTGGAAGGTTTAATAAAGTGATAGTGGAGTGTATCAAAAGATAACTGTGGCTTAACAGGTGGACAAAGGGTTTAACCCAGTTTTATAAGGGTCTAAAAGGTTGATTTGAGAGGGAGAGAGTGAGTCTAGCTGATATTTCAATGTAATGGGATGGTATGTAATGGTATGTAAGGGTTTGTAATGGTAGGGGGTATGAAATAGGTGGATACTAAACTGAGGGGAAAACAACTGAGAGGAGAGCCTCTTAAATACACAAAGGTGAGGGATTTTAGCTCCAGGGGAACAAGAGAATGAGAGATTTTAGCTGGCCAGAGCTTTACAATGAGGGGATTTAGCTAGTCAGAACATGTACATGAGGTATTTTGGCTGGTTGAGCAACCTACATGATGTCATAAGAGTTATTTTAGCTTGAACTAGAAGTCTACATGAGGGTTTTATGCTGGTGAAGCATTTTACATGAGGTGATGTATTAGTCTGCAAGCTAAGGTGAGGTGATGAATATTACATGAGTGGTGTGAGATAGTCTGACAGCTGCAAGGAAGATTAACAAATGACATGACAACCTGCATGATGTAACTTGTAAATCCAGAGTGGTACCAGACCAACACTGCATGTGTCAACTGTCAGAAGATAGTGGAGTGGTGTGTATACATGTACTATAATGGTGTGAGAGTGTATGTAGTTGTCCTGCAATGTACATATGTATAGTGTGAGTTATGTAATTTGTTGGTGTTGTTGAGTGTTGAAGTGTTGCCATGGTGGTGAGTTGTGTAATTGAGTGTGGTGATGGTCCAGAGAGTGTAGCTTCCAATCCAGTTGAGTTCCAGTGACGCCTCCAGTGGTGACCAAGGGTGAAATTGACCATAGAATCCAGTTCTTGAGCCATATTGGGTGATTTTTGAGTGTATATATGAGAAAAAAGGTGTAAAAAGTATGTAATTTGTAATAAAAGAAAAAACTGTAAAATTTTTAAATGGGCCAGATGGCTACCCTTAAGGTATACCACAACGGCCATCAATAAACACACCAAGACGATGAACGAAGCTATCGCCATCATCATACCTCGGCTCAATTCTCGGTGCTATAGGGAGTGCGTCAACTCCGAAACGATGGATGACTCCTTCCTTCTATGGGCTAAAATCGCCAATCAGTATGCATCTCACTCTGTTATAAATCAAGGAAGAGTCTTCATGAGCTATGCCGCCCTGAACTACGACGGGGATCTCCAGAAGTATATCGATTCAACAAGAAAGTCTCTTATCGATATGGATACAGTCGACATGATCATGCCTAAGAAGATCACCTCGTATTTCATTCTCGGTAAACTGATGAACAGGGACCTCGATCAAGTCGTCGACAAGACTGCCTTCGAACCCGACGTGATGACCGACCCATACAAGGTTTTGAATGCTCTTCAAGAATTCCAGACTCGTAAGAAAAATAAACTCATTGATGCTCCGAAGGGTACCGCTCTGATTACATCTTATTCTTCTGGATCCTCTTCTCCTAAGAATCAAAAATTCACTTCAAAAATCATTCATTATTGTGGAGGAGGTGAACATAATCCAGAATCGAATCATCCTGAACCGCGATGTTTTGAGAAATATCCACACTTGAAAACTGAAGCCAGAACTCCTAGAAAAACCAGGAATGCTTCCGCTAGTTTCGCACATGCTTCGGCGTTCGTCACCCAACACTACTTAAGTCAAGAAGATTCGATAGTTATCGATTCGGCCGCATCTCACCATATGCTTTGCAATCGACATCTCTTTCAAGACTTTGTCGCCGAGAAAGTGGTCATCAAAACCGGCAATCCTGGCGCTAACCTTACTGCTGCTGGGTACGGACAAGCAACGATCTATATCAATGGGAGGACCATTTCCCTTGATGATTGCCTACTTGTCCCGGACATCTCTCAACAACTAATCTCTCTCGTTCGGATGATTGAAAATTCAATTACGATCAAGAAAGATGGGTCAACCTTTGAAATCTGCGATTCCCGCGGACCAATGTTCCGTGGCAAAATCATCGATCATCTCCTGCACAGCTCTTTCAGTCCGGTACCCACTGCACTCATCAATCACTCTATCTGGCATCATAGACTTGGACACCCCAGCTCTCAAGTAATGAGACTCATGGATCTCCCCTTGGCTAACGATGGCATCTGTGAGGTATGTGTCTTCCCAAAGATGACTTCATCTCCTTTTTCCAGTCATTTCTCGGCTGTTCAATTTCCTCTTCAACGCATACACATGGATCTCGTTGGACCTATCAATCCCTCTTCTATCTCCGGTTATAAATATTTTCTCACTATTGTAGATCAATACTCATCTTTTAAATTTGTTCGATTTCTCAAGGCAAAATCCGACACCTTCAAAGAATTCAAGCTGTTTGTTGCCATGGTTGAAAATCTTCAAAATCGAAAAATCAAGGAAGTCGTATCCGACAACGGTGGCGAATTCATCGGCAACGACTTCAAATCTTTCTGTCAAGAATCCGGCATAATCCAAGTTTTCTCACCTCCAGAAACACCTGAGCATAATGGGTTCGCTGAGAGAGCGAATCGCACAATCCTTGATAAGGCTCGCTCATTACTGCTCACTAGTAATCTTCCGAAAGCCTACTGGGCTGAGTCTGTCAATGCAGCCGTGTTGATCTCCAACATGCTGGTCACTCCGTCCCGCTCCAACATTTCTCCTTACGAGTTATGGACAAAGCTATCTCCGCCAATTCACCGTCTCAGGTCGTTTGGTTGCAAGGCATTCATCAATGTGCCCAAAGAACATTGCTCTTGGAAGCTGGGCGTCAAAGGCGACACTGGCATACTGGTCGGGTTTGAAAATGAAGCGACTGTATATCGCATACTTCGTCTTCGCGATAGAAAACTCATCCTCACCCGTCATGTTAAGTTTGATGAGTCGCTTTTTCCTAGCCTTTCGGATTCCATTGCTTTCTCCGTGGACAAAGAAGATGTCATCTTTCAAGACTCGTTTGAGGCCGACTCTCCTCCTAAAGATACCGCGCCCGGAAGTTCCTTGGACGATGGAGACTTGCGTGAAGACTCGACCACAGAAGAGAATCCTAACCTTGAGACTCAACCCGATGAAGACTTGAATGCTTCGCGGATCAAGGTCGTGGGCCCTCGTCATCCTACTCTTATCTCTGGTGACATCTCCTCGGACAACATCCTTCCGTATGCTCGACGACGCGCGCACGCTTTCGTAACCATCACAACCTTACCCTCTCATTATCTTCAAGCAGTAAAGTGCTCTGAGTCTTCGGGATGGTCTAAGGCCATTGCTTCAGAGTTAAAAGCCATGGAGGACCTGAAAGTGTGGGATGTCGTCGATCTTAATCCAAAAATCAAGACTGTTGGGACCACGTGGGTCTTCAGGAAGAAGAAAGGGGATGACGGTTCTGTTGTCTTCAAAGCAAGGTTATGGGCTCAAGGATTCTCCCAAACTCATGGGGTCGATTTCTCTAGGACGTTTGCGCCAACCGGAAGGCTCAACTCTCTCCGAGCCCTCATCTCTTTTGCCGCTGCGAACGATCTCGATTTTCAACAACTCGATGTGAAAACCGCTTTCTTGAATGCCGAATTGGACAAGGAAGTATCCTTGTCCATTCCTCAAGGCGTCTCTCTCGACAAGAAACAGAAATGCCTGAAATTGAAAAAGGCCATCTACGGCTTAAAGCAAGCACCACTCGCTTGGTACAATAGGCTATCTAGTTGGCTTGTCTCGGTAGGCTTCAAAGCTTCGGTCTCCAATCCTTGCGTCTTTTATCGTCTCGGTCAAAAACCTGTATGGCTCTTCATCCATGTGGATGACATTGCTGTTTTCGGGAAGGACCTCACCATCTTTAAGCAAGAAATAAAAGCAGAATTTGACATGAAAGATTTAGGGAAAGCCGACGTCTTACTAGGCATAAAGATCATCCATGATCCGAATGCAATCGTCCTTTCTCAGCTTCACTATGTTCACTCTCTCCTAGAACTATATGGTATGGAACACAGCAGGCCGACGTCCACCCCTCTAGTTCCAAATTCTCACCTGGACAAGGCTTCTCCTGAAGAAATCGATCGGTTCAACTGCTTGGGGGTAAACTATTGCAGTGCCGTCGGTGCACTTAGTTACCTTAGCTCTGCGACCCGACCCGACATCTCTCACGCTGTCAGTACGCTCTCGCAATTCCTTGAGGCTCCTGGGATAAAACACTGGGAAGCCTTTACCCATGTCTTGCGTTATTTGCATGGAACTCAAGATTATGGACTTGTTTATAAGAGAAATTCCATTTCGCCTTTGACTGGGTATACTGATGCTGACTGGGGGAACTGTCCCGTCACTAGGCGCTCTGTGACTGGGTATCTCTCTCAGTTCAACGGTGTGGAACTGCTCAGCAAGTGAGTAAAGAGCTTGGAGGGGATAAAATAGCTAATAAGACTATAAAATAGTAGAATTAGTATTGGTGTGTGGGTGAGACTGCCCTCCTGTCTAGCTTGCGGGAAAGTTACACTAAGAAAAATAAGAGTGTGGCTTATTTCTAAATTTATCTTAGTGTTTGATACTACTGTTGTTGTTGCTTAAGAATACCTGTTGAGGAGGTAAGGGGTTTTATGGGGTTTTCTGAGTAATAAGGGTTTCTGTAGGGTTTCTCTGTTAAATCTGTTATAAATTCTCTCTGGTTCTCTTGATCTTATAAGTCTCTCTGGTTTCTCTGGGCTCTGATAAAGGTACGCTGATTTCTCTAAATCTTTCAAAGAGGTGAGAATGGCTAAGCAATATTTCTGAATTACTTGTCTTTGGCCAAAATTGAGGTAAGGGAAGTTCAGGGGCTCTAATAATCTCTGGATCTCTTAATCAAGGGTGATGAAAGCTGAGTAATATCTCTGATTACTGTTCTGTAGCTAGCATGAGGAGGGAGAAAGGAAAACATGAGCCAGAGGAGCCTCTATTTATAGACAAATGGTTCTGCAGTACATGGGTTTTTGGCCTGAACACAAGTTCATCTGAGAAGGGTACTTCTAGAGTGGTTTTTATATACTCTGAGATGGCCTAATCTGATATGATTTAATCTCTAAGTGCCTTTCTAATACAAGAGGTTGTAAATCTACTATATGAGGCCTATTCTTAGATTAATTAATATGAGAATGGTATTCTTAGACTATTTAGTATAAGAGTTATTTTCTAGAACTAGTCTGTGAAGTACTTTCTGATCAATACCTTGATTTACCAGTCTAAGATGGATGTAGTATCTCTTTATGTGTTTTTACAGTCTATTTGTATAATTATTATTCATAAGGATTTATGTATTTTAGGCCTGATTTGGGCTTTATCTTAGCTATGTTTTAACCCAGTAATTATTATACATTGTATTCTATATTTTACCCCTTCTTCTCTAACATCTTAAACACTATTTATGTGTAATAAAATATTTTAAACTAGATCTATGGGTTTGATTAATCTCACCACAACGGTCATCTAATTGGTTGGCAAACGAAAAAACAGCCGGTTGTATCTCTCTCCTCTTGTGAAGCCGAATATCGTGCATTAACGGACTTCTCGTGTGAGCTTCTCTGGATTCGTCAGTTCATCAATGAAGTGGGCTTGGAAGACATGAACACTCCAACCATTGTTCATGAAGATAACCAAGGCTGCATCGCAGTAGCAAATTTCGACGCAAACACCAATTCGAAGAGAATGAAGCACGTCGAAATTCAACTTCACTTCATCCGGGAAGTGATAAAAGACTCCAAAATTTTCTTAAAGTACACTCCGACCACGGAAATGTTAGCTGATTTCCTCACCAAGTCCATCGCTCGACCCGCTCTAATCAAGTCTCTACGATCGTTGGGACTTTTTCGTCTAGAGGGAAGGGGGGGTGTTGAAATCTGAGCCCCAAGGGACTCGGACTTATCCCTCTAACCTCAAAAGACTACTAAAATATCCATGACATCATTCTCGCTGAAACTCTCGCACTGTTCTCTAAACACGCTCGACCTTTCTCATCCTCACCAAGAGCTCGAACGACCAAAGCGTATCAAATCATCTTTCCCTCTTCCATATAACCTCACCTATCGCACCTCGGATTTCTTTCTCCCAGGCCAGGAACTTTCTGGGTTATCATAACAACCCAAACTCATCTACATTCTATCATCATCTATTCTACCAAAAAAATCTTTGTTCCTCCATTTGGCAAATCCTATAAGCCATCTTATCATCTCAACGAGCTTAACTCGCACTCGAAGAATCTCATCTTCTCCTTCAACACTTCTTCACTTCATCGTACAGCACTTCCCTTCCTCCGCCACTTCGCCGATCAGACCAACGTGCTTCCCTTCCTTCTTGACCTATCGCCGATCATCATCTCAACGATTGGTCTTCCTGAGTGTAGTAGGTTATCGCACTTAAACGTCTCTCTCTTGTTACATGATCAAGACATTAACCGCTCTTTGTTTCTCTTAGTCGCTTCTTTTCTCTTTGCTCTCTGCTTTTCGCAACTTGTTGTTCTTCATCATAAAACTATTGTTTGCCTTTAGGTTTGTTGAGAATTTTCTCTTTTGTTCATGTATTTCTTTTGTTCATCTTGCTCATAAAGAAATACACCTTTAGTTTGTTCATTCACAAATTCCAGAGGCCCACACGTCCTCAATGACCATCAAGTTGAGCTACCTCCTCTACAAGGAGAGACGATCTGGCGACCCTCTGGCTCGCCCGCACTTCTTTAAAATTACACCTACTGAATCTGTGCGCAATTGGACCGGCAATATCTCAGAGGCATCGTTTGAAGAATTCAAAAAGACTCTCTTCGCTCATGTGACAACCAGCCGAAAAATTCGCCGGATTCTGGACATGGGCAACTGCTCAGGGAGACTGTACTTCTATGTCAGTGCTCATTTAGGACAGCCCCTCGGTGTTTGTTGCCCACTCCACGGGATCCATTTTTGTAGCTTTGCTTCATTTGTGGCCGAGGCCATGCGACAACCTGAACGACCCATCACCATAATTATGTCAATGCGCCATGTGGGCCGGCACTGTGTCGCGGATGGGACTGTAAGTGAATGGAATGCGGCTTGTGCATCACAAATAGCCCTGTTGGATTGACTTTGGTGCTTGCAACTCGCTTCCATGCAGGAAGTTGCGGACCATTTCTCTGGTGGTTCCTTTTTTGTTCTCAGTGAGAGAAACAAGTGTCCTGGAAGGGAGCACCAATTTCATACCGACCGTCAGGGCTTTCGACTACAGCCACACCTTGTACCATCACGCATCAAACCGGAGATCGGACCGCTTGGATTTGTTGAAGAACTTCTCGTATTCTGTGGCATTCCTCAGAACGACAGGCTTACTCACGGCCTAATCGATCTTCACCAAATAGACGACTGGCGTTTTTTTGTTGGGAGGTCATGCGAGGAGTTGGAGGACTTGGGATTTGGGACCCGTACAATTCAATTGCTCGCGGATGGTGTCCCAATGTACATAGTTCACTTAAACGATACCCTGTTTGATACATCAGATGAGGATGAATTCATTGACTATGACGATGAATTCTAATCGCGCAATCTTCTTAATGGATTCCAACCCAATCCCCACTCAATTTGTAGCTTCTGGTGTAAGCCAAGTAAACATACCAGATGTTTCATTGCATTCAAACAATTTTTTTCTCAGAACTAAACTTATCAAACGAGCGAATTGCGCGGGAACCAGGGAGATAGGGAAAACAGTAAGTTGGTGAATGTAAGACAGCAGCCACCAAAAATAAGGTACAAAGTAGGTAAGGGAGGGTCCTATTCATGGCTGAGGTAACCACATGATTGGAAGAGTGGTCGGATTAAAGACGGAGTAACAACCTGTGCAAATTCGTGTTGGATGATGTCTGCATCCGTTCTTTGGCCAGTAAGGACCCTTTGACGCCGGAGATGACTCTTGAAAACCGAAAACACCTTTTCGATCGGATTGAAATCGGGCGGATATGGAGGAAGATAGACCAGCAACACTCGGTATGATTCACAGATTTTGCTGATGTTGCCCCAGTGATAGATTTTGGCGTTATAAATGATTAGGACACTGTTTGGGCCTGGGAACGGGCTCATGTTTGGGAGCTAAAGTGAAATTTTTGATCAATGCCTGAAACTCTGAAATGCAGAACGTAGAACCGAGCTTACCAGCACTTCTTCAAGATAATATTCAAAGTCCAACCGGATCATGCTACCTTCTTGGACCATGACGCCAAGTGGTCCTGTCATTGATACAGCAGGGAGCAAATTCCATCTGATTCTCCCCCGCTTCGATGGAATCCTAACTGTGCGCTTGCCTTTTGGGGCCCAAGCCCTCAATCGTCGTTGGGTGTCAATACAAATCGCGCTCTCGTCTATGAGTTGTTGATGCAAATGCTGTATCAGGATTCCAACAATCTATGTGAAAAACAAAAGTCATGAGAGGCAACTTACCCACAAAAACCAAGTATTCGGGAGGATACACAGACACCTCGATGGAATATGCGGCTCGTTTGATTGGGCACTGGGCCGGATGGACAGTTCGCGCAACCTTGAGGGTTTGGCCGAGTCTTTTGATCAGGAGGTCATAAACTGTGCTTCGAGATAAGAGGACACCAGCTTCATCGACGATTTGGGATTGCAACTTGTCCAGATACAAAGATGAATTGGCCTTGAGGATATCTAGAACAAATTCAACCTGTTCCTTTTTCAGGAGCAGGGGTCTTCCTCGAGGTTGATACGTTGCCGGGTCGCGTATCACCGAGTGAGTGGAGAGAAAGAGAGATTTCCATCGGGCATACAATCGGTCAGAAACTGGATATCCGGTTATTTTGTTGATAGTGGCGGGAGAATGCCCGGAAAGAAGCAGTCGGACGCAGATGGCCTTCACCTCTGGGACGTAGAGCGCGTAGCCCATTTTCTTTGAGAGAAAAGTTCAATTTTAATGATTGTAACTATTATTGATAATTTTACATTGAAGACTCACTGGAAACGTTTGGAAGAGAAAATGGGAGGTGTGGGAAATGGGAAAAAAATCATGGATGGGGGAATGAGGGGAAACACCATCGCTTGTGACCGCAATGCCCTATCAGAAAGACACAGACTCATGTGTTCATGCTGGAACTTAACCTTGTCCAGATCACGAAGAGGATGGATCTGCACAACCGAGCAGCTGCATTCCAGGAGGGACTGCCATCCTTTTCTGGAATTGCTGTACCACATTGATCTGTATACCAAACGGCTGCAGGCCCAGCCGGTCAATGGAGGAACAAGATCAAGCCAGGTCACCCGAATCTCATATGTACATGATTTGTAGTCACCATCAAGACCAAGTCAACCAAGGCCAAAGGTCTTTTCAGATACATACTTCATTACTCAACCAGACTTTTTATCATGCCATGTTTTCTTTTTCAGTGTATGATTTTCCCCTGTTTTCCCAGATTCATAGTGATCAATCCCATAGGCCAAATCTCACTCAAAAAAAGTCTTTGCGGCCCACTAAATACATAGTTTCTGTGACAATAAGGCCAGAAAGGGGCTACTGCGGCAAGGCAGGTAGCATGGGTAGAGCAAAGGGGAAAACCTAGATTATCATTTCATTAGGTTTACACGTTGTGGTAGTCAAAAATGTGAAAATTCAAAGTTTTTTTCCTTTTCTTTTTATATATATATATTTCTTTATATTATCACCCAATCACTCTCAGAATTCACACCATACGGCTCAAGAAATGGGCTCTACGGACAAATTCACCCTTGGTCACCACAGAGGCGTCACTGGAACACACCTGGATCAACTCTTACCCAACACTGGACAACATATCACAAGGATTTCACCCATCAGTACATATCACCAAACTCAATTACAACCCTCAAGCTACACAGACACCCTCAGTACAGTACACACTCATTTACATACATCTACACTCTTTACATTTCACTACTACATATTACATCATACCTGCAGCCTAAATTAGTGTATTTTCCATGCATGACAGCTGCAGCTTACATCACCACACTCACTTGTAAACACATCAGAACCTGACCAATCAGAATCACTCTTTCAGCTGTTTGGCTCACCACTTCAACTCTTGTACATGTCTGACCAATCACATTCACTCATTCAAATTTTGTATGTAGCTAAAATCACTCATGTAATTGTTGAAATCTGATCATGACAGCACGCATACATTCTGTGATGTCATAGTAGTGTGATCTTACACAGCTAGTTAATTTTATTTCTTTTCCTTTGTTGACCGTTGTTTTCATCTTTTTTCTTTTTCGTGAACCGTTGTTCCTGTTGACCTCGTCGACCGTTGTTATTGAAAGAATACTTACTATCTATCTCTTCGACTTCGACTATACACTTACCAATTCAGCTTACCATTAACAATCTTATTTTACTTGTCTTTTAATCTTTCCTTCATCATCATCTCGTGTGGTTTCCAACTTCTCCGAGGACTTTCTCATCTAGGTTGACTTTCTGAGGTTCTTATTCTTTTCTCTTCTTTTATTGTTATAACTGCGGGCATGATTCTAATGGTTTTCTATTCTCTTCAAGTCTTTCCAACCTAGTCATCGACACCCACCAACATAATCATCGACAGTTTTCATTTCTCTTTATTACATTCTTTCATCCATAACTTGTTTCCTGTTTTATCTAGGTAACATTCATTTCTTATCTTCTCTTTACTTTTGTATTTTTCTTTGATTTTTCTTTTACTGAAATTGATATTTTATCTAGCCAAAACTTTTCAGTAATAGCCCAGGCCAGCCAAAATCACTCATTACTGGCTGCCCAGGAGCTAAATTCCCTCACTGTTGTATATATAAGGAGGCTCTCCTCCCAGTTGTTGTCTCCTCAGTGTATTATTGACCACTCACAGTTTAGTACCACTCAATCACAGATATACCACCTTTACATAACCTTACCAAACACCAATAACAACTAAACTCATTTCTCAGCATCACACAAACTCATTCCTGAAGTTACCCTATCACTTGATTAAAACTTGCCAAGCTGAGCTTGGTGGGTCTTGTTATCTGATAGTATAGAAGGGCAGAGCTTGCACCTCCACCATCCCCTTCTCCATTCAGCAAAAAGGGTCTTACAACCACTTTTTGAGTCTTACAACGTGTTGTATTTAGCTCACTTAGTCCAGTTGTACACGTTTCCCTTTTCCTTCTTTTCTCACTCATCATCGCTCGCCTTTCCTCTGCACACCATCAGGTGCATAGTCTCTTCATTTCGTCTCACTCCTCCCCATTGTCCTCTCTTCGTCGGTTCTCTTCTAGCCTCCTAGCTCATCCGCTGCTCCGTGGTGTTTCTCAGGTCTGCTTCTCTTCCTGTTTCTTTCTTTCTTTCTTCCCTTTCTTTTTCTTCTGTCCTTCTCTTTTTCTCTTGCTCACTATGCAATGAACCACTCATCATCGCTCGCCTTTCCTCTGCACACCATCAGGTGCATAGTCTCTTCATTTCGTCTCACTCCTCCCCATCGTCCTCTCTTTGTCGGTTCTCTTCTAGCCTCCTAGCTCATCCGCTGCTCCGTGGTGTTTCTCAGGTGCATAGTCTCTTCATTTTGTCTCACTCCTCCCCATCGTCCTCTCTTCGTCGGTTCTCTTCTAGCCTCCTAGCTCATCCGCTGCTCTGTGGTGTTTCTCAGTTTCTCATATCTCTACAACCCCATGACTGTGTACACAGATATAAAAAAATCACAAAAATAAAAAGAGTAACAAGCTAACAAGATTGAAAAAAGAAAGAAAAAGGAGGAGCAAAAAATATGATAAAAGAGAAGGAACAGGAAAGGACCAAGCATCAAGAAAATTAGAAACAAGTCAATGACAATATGAAGTTTGGTTCCTCTAGAGGAAATTTTTTATGTTGGTTACAGGGCTCCCGGGTGCCAGGGAGACACCCAATTCTGGTTATCAACCTGACTGTTCAAGGCAAAGGGCTACCAGTTTGTCTGCTTTAGTAAGCTGTAATACACAATCAAGTCAATAATGGCTGATTTGGATTTTGAGTTTGCAGAGAGAATGTCTCAGCTCTGCACTTTGTTTTGTGAGGTGGTGACAGTAATCAAGGAGATGGAAAGTTTTTGCCTCTGCTGGGAAAAAAGGGGCATATATGGTTGAAATGCCTGTTGATGCAAAAAGAAATGATTTCAGAATGCAATGACTTGAAGCAAGCTGATTTATGATACTTGCTGTATGGGTTATTTTCATATGATTTCCTTCCAACCTTAAACTGGGGGTTATTGGTTTAACAGCCACTTTTCCCAGTTGATCTGCTCTTATGACCCGGAAATCAGCAATGATTATCTCAAACTCAGTGTGAGGATCTATCTATAACTCTAACTGCTAGCGGCTATGAATTTTACCAAGAGCAGCGGTGGGCCGCTACACTACACTATGCTACGGGCCCATGTAGCGTTAGCGTAGCGGCGCCAACAACTTCTTTTTTCATGTAGTGTTAGCGTGCTGCTACTGCCACTGCACTACGCTAATTTGTAGTGGCGCTAACACTAGCCATTTTTTGGTGTAGTGTTAGCGCGCCTCTGGCACCGCTACACTACAGTGTTTTTAGCGGCAAAAAACGCCTCAAAACCGCTAAAAATTGCCACAATGCAGCGTAGCGGGCGGTTTTTTGCACCCTGTGCGCGTAGCATTAGGGCAGATGGGGGGACTTGCGCTAACGCTACGCTAAATGTTAGTGCATTTTTTGGCCCATGCGCGTAGCGTTGTGGTATGTCCATACCTTTCCATGTATCCTCATTTTTCTTCATCATTTACATATATTCTTCCCAGTATTATTTCATATTCAGATTCTACACATTATTTCACCCCTAGTCACCTCTTACAGCTTTTCAGTATCTCTTGTAGTTCTCTAGTTATCATCTCTTCTGTATATTCATAGTTACAGAACAGTACATTACTTTATACATACAGTACATATACATTACACATTATATAGTTACAGTCTCTATGTAGAATCACTCATTCACCATGGTACATCACCATTACTACATACTACATATTCAGCATAACCATAACTACATACATCAATCAGGATAACCTTAGCTACATTACATCATGTACATATTTACTTTCACACTGCTTTGACTTTCCGTACCTGATTAACACTTGTATACACAGAAAATCTGTCTCTTAGTTACATTATTTCTCATCACTCATTACTGTTTAAGACTTACATTACCCATAGCCAGGATTTCCCCAGCCATGGTGCTTTGCTGTGGTATGTACATGTTGTACACATATATACTCTTTCTTCCTCTTCATGTATTTTCCCCCTCATGCTATGTACCTTGCCTGAATTATCTTCTAACCATAGTCTTAGAAATCAGAAATACTAGTATCACCCTTATATCTTTACCAGATATCATTGCCAGTTATATTTGCCAGTTATACATCCCCCCTTGCCAGTTATAAATCCTCATTTGCCAGATTATCCCCTTTTGCCAGTGTCATCCCTCATTGCCAGTGTTACCCCCCTGCCAGTATTATCCCATCACACCTCATTGCTCCTCCTCCTCACACCTCAGTAGGTACTACATACACAAGCTAATCAGTAATAGTAGTCTAAGATAAAGTAGAAATCAGCCACACCTCTATTCTTCTTTTTCTTAGTGTTACACTCTTCCCATCAGCATTGTACAGGAGGGCAGCCTCATCAGCACCTGTAGTCTCAACTTACATTAGTACTAGTGTAGTTGTCTATATCCCCTCCAAGCTCTATCTCCCTGGTTGAGTAGTTCCACAGCGTTAGCGCAGAAAATGAGAAAAGTGCTCACGCTACGCTAAATTGTAGCGGTTTTTTGCTACGCTAGCACTGTGGTTAGCGTAGCTGGCCCACCGTTGCCACTTGTACACAATGAAAGGTGCCACAAGAAGCTCCCCTTTCCTCTACAATTCTCTGAGGCACCCTCATACCTCATCCAAGAATATTTAAGGAGCCCCCAATTCTACAGATTGCTCTTTATAGATTCAGAACAGCAGAACTTTGCCTACTATGTGACTATCTAGCTTAATCAAATGGTACACTGTCTAGAGTCCTATCACTTAAATAGTTCTAGAAAGATAGTAAGCTATCCTTTTGGTGTTGTTATATTTTCAGTACCCTATTTTCCAAAAACCCAAGCAACAGCAAGTATTCCTTGGATGCCTATTAATCATTCAAGGATTGATCTGGATTCCCTCCCAGTAGAAAGAGTCATGTATGTACAAGAAATCTTACTGACGACTCCCTATGCTTTCTGTTACAGCTTGAGCAATCAATTACCACAAATTACCTCTTCAACTATTATCTAAACCACTTCCACCATCAACACTCATAGCAATATTCTACAGTACCTTTTTTCCTGTCACCACACAACATGGCTCTTCAAAAGGTAAATGTCTGACATCAACATCAACTTCAAACATATAGACCTGTATCTTTTACCTGATTCCCAAACAATTCTAGACAACCCAGAAAATATTTTAGTAAAAAAGTCCTTGAAAAAACCGTTGTGGTAGTCAAAAATGTGAAAATTCAAAGTTTTTCCTTTTCTTTTCTTATATATATTTTCTTCATATTATCACCCAATCTCTCTCAGAAATCACACCATACGGCTCAAGAACTGGACTCTACGGATAAATTCACCCTTGGTCACCACGGAGGCGTCACTGGAACACACCCGGATCAACACCTACCCCAAGATGGACAACATATCACACGGATTTCACCCACCAATGCCAATTACAACCCCACATTTACATATACAACTCACTTACAAGACACTACATTACATCTACACATCTTACATTTCCACTTATACATATTACATAACTGATGCATGCAGTCTAAATTAGTGTATTTTCCTTGCATGACAGCTGCAGGTGGTACCACCACATTTACTTGTAAACACAACAGAACCTGACCAATCAGAATCACTCTTTCAGCTGTTTGGCTTCCCACTTAAACTATTGTACATGTCTGACCAATCACATTCACTCATTCAACTTATGTATGTAGCTAAAATACCTCATGTAATAGCCCAGGCCAGCCAAAATCGCTCATTACTGGCTGCCCTGGAGCTAAATTCCCTCACTATTTTCTATATAAGGAGGCTCTCCTCCCAGTTGTTGTCTCCTCAGTGTATTATTCATCAGTCACAGTTTAGTACCACTCAATCAAATATACACCACCTTTACAGAACCTTACCAATCACCAATAACACTAAACTCATTTCTCAGCATCACACAAACTCATTCCTGAACTTAC